TATGACAGCAGCAGCAGCAATCACTGAGCACTGACTGTGTGCTAGGACATGTGCCCAACATTCTGCAGAGATGGTCTCACTTCATTTTCATGACCCCCTAATTGGCACCAGTATTTTCTCCAATGTTCCAATGAGGAAACTGAGGCTGAGAAGTGAAGGAATCTAAAATCTGCTGCTAATGCCTGACTGCTGGGCAGGGTGTGGTGGCTCACGTTTGTAATCCCAACACTTTGGGAGGCTGAGGTGGGTGGATCACCCGAGGTCAGGAGTTCCAGACCAGTGTGGTCAACCATGGCAAAACCACCTTCTACTAAAAATACAAAAATTAGCCAGGCATGGTGGTGCATGGCTATAATCCAACTAACTCAGGAGGCTGAGGCACGAGAATCGCTTGAACCTGGGAGGCGGAGGTTGCAGCGAGCTGAGATCCACCACTGCACACCAACCTGGGTGATAGACTGAGACTCTGTCTCAACAAAAATATAGACTATACTAGAATAAATAAATAAAATAAAATAAAATACTCGACTGCTGGGGTTCTAACCCATGTCTCTCTGACCCAAGGGGTAAGAGGTATACCTCCAATCCGCCCCACCCCTTCAGCTACCCACCCCAGGCTTGCTCACCATCAAAGACGGTGTCCTGTTAGCCTTTCCCAGGTCACATCCTGGGCCTCACCCTGCAGCAAAAACAGACTTGGTCCTTTAGAATGTGTGCACAGAGCAAGAGGCAAAATTCACAAAGGCCACTTTTAGCTCGAAAGTGTTCCATGCCAGCTGAGGAAACAAGCTTCGGTCGGTGGTTGGTGTGGGCGGCGCGGCGCGCGGCGGCGGCGCGGTCGGTGCGGTGGCGTGGCGGTTGGCGGCGGCGGTGGTGGGTGGGCGGTGGCGGTGGTGGTGTGGCGGTGGTGGTGGTGGGATGTATGTTCCATGGGTGGGGTGGGAGAGAAGGACCTTGCAGGAATCTCTGCTGCCTGGGCTAGAGCTGTTTTGTATCCATGTGTGTCCTAGGATTCCTCATAGAGGGGGTCACCAACACGGTCAACTGGCCATTGTTCAGATCCAGGCTTTGGCCTCAAATCCCTGATTCCTATTGACTCAGACAGTGTATCTTTCTTCCAGAGGCAGAATGAATCCCTAAATGGATGAAGAAAACCTATCAAAGTATAGCCCAGGAGCAAAGATCCTTCTAGAAGAGGCCTCTCTCACCTGTGAGAGGGGTATGTACTCTGGGCAGGTCCCAGAAACAGGAGCTAAAGGCAACCTTTGGTCCATTTGGGGTCTTTTGGTGGATGCTGGCTCCAGGCCCTGGACTCATGAGATTTTTCCTGGAACACTCAGGTGCCGAACAGAGAGTGAAGTTGTAGCTTGGGACCTTGTGGTAACTGTCCTGTCAGGGATGTCTACGGGTCCTAAAGTCCCTGGCCTGGGACAAAGTTAGCTCTTGTTGCAGGGCACAGGCATAGCTTGCACCAGGGTGAGGCCATGGAGTAAGTCAAGCTCTCTCAATTCCTGACAGATAGAGCCCCCAGGGGTCACCTGGGCTGGGACCAGCACTGTTTTGCAATATATTCATTTCTGTACACATACACCAGGTAAAAAATAACAAGGTATCCTAGAGACACTTGGGCCTCTGCTGTCTGAGCTCCGGATTTAGCCTCACATCTTCTCAATATGCAAAAGGCCCTGCAGTTACTAAAGCATTTTTAACACCTGCACTCCTCACCTACACCCAGCTCCGCCGCAGTAAGCCTTTGCATGGTTCTGCCCGAGACCCTCTTGGTTACTGAGACCTCCCCACTACCTGCTCCTACTTAAACCTCATAGGTCAGTTTGGGTGACTTTCTCAATGCCACAGCCTTACATAAAGCTCTGCCATCCCACTCTACATACCCTTCCATTCCACCCTGAAAACCCTCCCATTGCACCCTACACACCCTTTCATTCTAGCCTCACACCCTTCCATTCATCCATCACACAATTCCATTTCACCCTTCACACCCTTCCATTCTAGCCTCACACTCTTCCATTCATCCATCACACAATTCCATTTCACCCTTCACACCCTTCCATTCTAGCCTCACACCCCTTCCTTCCCATCACACATTCCATTTCACCTTTCTACATTCCATTCTAGCTACCACCTTTTTCATTATCCTCACAATTCCATTTCACCCTTTCACACCCTTCCATTCTTAGGGCCTCACACCCTTCCATTCATCCATCACACAATTCCATTTTCACCCTTTTCTTACCATTTCCTTCCATTGTTCACACGCCATTTCTATTTTACAAAACTCTTCCTATTCTTCACTTCCTAACACACTTGTATTCCATTCCTTGACACTCTTTTCCAGTCCACTACGTTGTCCTTCTGTTTCTTCTTCAATTATTCCATTTCCACCGCTAAGCATCCTGCCCATTACCCTTTTCACACCCGTTCCAGTCACCCTTCACACCCTCCAGAGACATCCTTCAAGCTTTTTCCCATTGCACCCTAACATCCTCCCCATCTCACTTTCAACTCTGGCCTTCCATGTCTTTTCATTCTTGCCCTTTTGCAAACTTCCCATTCCATTCTTCAACATTCTTTCACTCCACCTACCATCCTTCATTCCACCCTCCATCCTTTCCATTCCACCCTTTTCATATACTTCATCCCGGACTTGGCCCAGTGGCTCATGCCAGTATCCTTGAACTTTGGGAGGCCTGAGGGCAGTGTGGTCACTTGAGGGTCAGGAGTTCGGGGAGCCAAGTTGGGCCAATTTGTGTGTGAAACCCTGTCTCTACTTACAAAACACCCAAAAAATTAGCCAGGTGTGCATGGTGTGGGCATGTAATCCCAGTACTCAGAGGCTGAGGCAGAGAGAATCGCTTTGAACCCAGGAAGGCGGAAGGTTGCAGGTGAGCTTGAGATTCTTCAACTGACTCCCAGGCCCTGGACAACAGAGCAGACTGTCTTCAAAAAAAAAAAAAAAAAGGAACTGCACCATTTTACATTCCCAGGATCACAGATGAGGGTTCCATCTTCTCCTCATCCAGCCAACTGGAAGCCCTTTTAGCTGAGGGGGTTGAGCTGTGAGAACCAGAGTTTGCTGCTGCCATTATTCACTGCATCATTCATTCAGCAAAAATCTGAGTACCTACCACTACCTAGTAGGCTCTGGCCATGCAAGAAGTTGCTGACAACGCTGTAAGATAGAGAGGGACAGCACCCTGGTTACAGTGTTTCAGCACTCTGGCCTTGGTTCACCCCCGGCCTTTCACTTGCAGGAGGCAGGGAGTTGTCTGATGCAGTTTGGATTTGCTGCAACTAACAAAGCCGGCCAGCGGACCCCTCCAATCTACTGGGACTCAAATAAACCCAAGTGATTGTTCTCCCTCCATTCCAGGAGGGAACACCAGCCGGCCTTGGAACCTCAGGTGCAACAGAGACGCCAGGAGATGCTCGTGCGCAGCAGCCTGTGGCAGTACCAGTGAAGCCAGAGAGGGCTTGGTGGATGACAAGGAGGCCTGAGTAGACCCCAGGTGGGTCTGAGAAATGGGCTTAAGTGAGGCAGGTCTTTGAAGGATTTGTTCTTAATCATATGTGAGATGCTCAAAAGGCTGGAGTCCTGCTTTTGTGGGTGAAGAGCAAGAAGAGAAAACAGGTTGTACAGATACAGATGTAGATGGAGAGACAAAAAAAAAAAAGGAGGAAGGCAGAGAAATGCACCAATTCTTTAGCTGTATTATCTCCGGACGTTGGGATGGTGGGAGGCTTTATTTTACACTGATTTTGCCTATACTGTTTTCTCAATTTCCAGTTTTCTACGAAGATGAAGTGTTAGCTTTTTCACGTATTAAGATTAAAATTTAAAACAGACCACACAATAAATATTTCGTTTAAAAGGAGAAATATGCCCTGGGGAAGCTCCCCACGCAGCTGAGAGCCTGGCTGGTTGCATTTCGGCTTCTTAGGTGCCAAGCCTGCTCGTGCCCCGGGGTCCCAGCCAGCCGGGGTCCCAGGAAGCTCCCTCTTCCTCCCCCTTGCGCCACCAGTCTGGTTGCCATGGAGACAAACCTTGCTGCGCAAAGACTGCCGAGCCGCCGACCGGGGAGCTGGAACCCGGGGAGCTGGAACCCGGCGAGCCAGCCTCTGCAACAGGCTGGGGGCGGAAGGAGGAGCCAGGCGACGCTGCGCCTCCACTGAGAGGCCCGGCGGACCCTGCAGAGGCCCCCTGCCCCTCTGGCTCCGCCCCCACCCGGGGCTGTAGAAATACAGCCGCAGCCCAGACCACCGCCCACTGCGCTGCGACCCAGACCCAGCTGACCCACCTACCCGCGATCCTGCCCATGGCTGACGGACTCTTTCAGCGCAGACCCTGGGGTCCGGAGCAGATTCGCCCAGACCCCGAGTCCGAAGGCCTGTTTGACAAGCCTCCCCCGGAAGACCCTCCCGCTGCCCGTGCGCCCAGGTCCGCGTCGGCCTCGGGCAAGAAGGCTGGTCGGCGCGCGGGCGGGAGGGCGCAGGGGGGCCGCGCCGGGCAGCCCCCGAAGGCCGCATCGCGCCCCCAGCCCAAGGAGGAGGCGCCTCCACTGGTCGAGGGCTGCTATCTCGACCATTTTCCTCACCTCTCCATCTTCATCTACGCAGCCATCGCCTTCTCCATCACCTCCTGCATCTTTACCTATATCCATTTACA